CCTTAACACTTACATTCTCAATCACAAGATACTTCTCTACAGTTTCCAGTTATACAGATACCTTAACACTTACATTCTAAATATTGAATTATATGATCTATCACTGCTAGTCAGCCACAGTAGTAAAGTACTGCTGTGAATATGGATGCTTGGTTTGAAAAAAAGAAACTTAATTCAATCTTAAGTGAAGGAAATAAAAACAAATATTTTATTCTTTATTATCAATAATTTCTATTTGAACATTTACATAGACTTACAAATATTTTGAATTAGTTATTCATGATGAATGAAAAGATCATCATTCTTTGCGAGTTTCCTTCTCGTAACTTCTACACTCGACAAATTGGGTAGCTTTAAGTAATTCACACACACGTCATAACAGATAGAAGATAGTTTCTGTGGCTGTCACAAAGATCAAATGTTTTCCTTACAATAGTCAGTGGTGGAGATAAGCTTTTGAAACCTGTTAAAGAAATACAAATCAGACAGAAAAACCTTATCACTTATGGTAGCTTTTAATTGAATAATACCAAAAATAAATCCATTCCTGATTTCAATCACTATTTTTATTAGTGTTGTGGAAATATTTTACAGTTACTCATTTTCATTTTTCACGATAACTTCATTATCCCACCTTTACTTTAAAATTCTAAAGTGCTTTTAAGTAAATCAGTCTCAAATGATTATCAACAATTTAAAAGTTTCTACTAGTCAACAAAATCTTTAAAATGTATTATATATTTTTTAATAGTTATATCTAATATATGTTGTCATCATTTGTTTATTTCAGACTTTTTGTACAAATCTACACAAAGGGCTATATCTATGCATAGCACTCCCTAATTTAGAACTTGCAGACTGAAGGGAAGGGCTCCTCCTGTTTGGCTGAATAATATGATATGATGACTCTTATAGTGTATCCATGGATTCTGAGAATTCTAACCATTAGATAATGCCTGACCATAAAAAGAAATAAATAAATATTTTATTCTTACAAGGAAAAAATTAAAGCACCCTACAATTGTATTAGTTATAGAAAAATAACATATTCATAATGCCTACTTACATTTTCGGGTAATCTCTACTCTTTTAGTAGGACATATAATGTAACAAAACTAGTTTTTAATGATTTTCCTAAATTAATCATTAAGTATTTTTTCTCTAAATTACATTGCAATAAATTATATAATAATATCATAAGATGCATTTAGGTCCAGAACTAATGTACATAAAAAAAACTGTTTAGATTCAAATTTTTATTGCAGGGAATGGATAAAAATTATAGTTCACAGACCTTGTTATTTTCACAGCATTAATAAATTTAAATGAATATAAGATCTTTTAATTTACACTCCAAAACATTTTGCCTAATTACTCAGACTAGGAAAGGTTCCTGATAAATAAATTAGAAATTGGGCAACATTTCAAAATTATAGATTTTACTAACTCCACCCAATGGGAGTTTTACAAGTATGATTAACAAAAATTATATATATTTAACATTTTACAAAACCTCCCACTGATAACCTTGGAGGTACACTACCACAAACTAAAGGAATTTTTCTGGAATGTGGCTACTGAGAGTTTTAGAAAGAAATTTGCTAGCTCGACTATCGTAATTATAACCATGAACACACCTACAGCATTCCATGAGGGCTTTAACATCCGAGCAGCTGTTTCCATTACCACAAAACAAACGTTCCACTTGTGGAGAAACGTGGGTTTACGCTTCAATTAAAATATGTTGGACTTGGAGCCCAATTATTTAACACAGTGGCAGTGAATAAATTTTTTTAAGATGTAAAAAGTTAAAGAAATAAGCATGAATTATTACTGCATAAAAATGTTCAAAAGAATTGGTATTGTTTACATTACTTCTCAAACAATCATAACTGTTGTATAATAAACTTAAAGATACAATGAAATAAATAAGATCCAATTCTGTGCTCTCTTTTCTTGGATCTAAAAACCAAAACTTGTATATACTTTGGCTTTATAAACTTAACAGGAGGTGATGACACAAAACTATGGTGGTTAGAGAAGAAGGTCCAACTTTTTAGAGGGAAGATGTGTCACCCTCGATGTCACTTCTCACAAATTAGTACAAGAATTCATTGAAAATTGTAGAACACACAGGTGGGCACAGATCACATTATACATTCAGAAATGAGCAACTCCAACAAAACTACAAATTTTCTTTTTATAATTTCTGATTGTCACAAGTTATCTCTACTTTTTTCAGTGAAAATCATAGAAATTATGTTAGATAGTCACGTGCTATCTGAAATTAAGTAATTAAGACTAGCTACACATGTCCATATGAAAAAATAGAGTTTTAATAAGTATTGTTTTACAATTTCATTTTGATATATTTTAAATATATTTTCCTTTAACAGTTAATTTATATACACTTTGTGGGTTACCTAATGTCTACCAGACATATCTTGGATAAAACCAAGTTAGAAAATACAACTTTTCTCGGTATTCTTTTAATCTTTTTTTGAATTAGTCACCTCAGATTCACTACTCTTGGTGTCAGCTTCTGCAGAAACAAATACAACTGTTCAAAAACTGCATCAAACGTTTTGTTACTGTTGCACACATCATATAATAAAGTAGCTGTGGTGCAATAATAA